GGTCCTTTCTTGACACAGAATTTCTTTGTCGACTTCCATGAGTTTGCTGTAAGATGAAGGCATGAGAAGCAGTCTTTCATGGTCCTGACACCCAGCTTAGACAACTGGACTCTTGAATTGGGAGTTGACTATGTGACTTGAGTTTCCTTCTTGTCATTCCAAACAGTGAGCACAGAGGAACTAGAAGTTCATGCTTTCTTCCAGGGCCTTCAGAGACCCGGGCTCTGATCACGTTCCCAACCATGAGCGTTCCTAGCAGTATATAAGAGGGATATTGTAAAACACTGGTATGCCCAAAGCAGCGGGCAAACCAGCTGGGTGACATTCTCTGCTTGCATTTTCTATGTATTGAGGGCTCATATCTAGGATATCTTAATGACTGACGTGTCTTCTGCCAAACGTGTTGACACCTCATCTTTTAGAACGTAGCCACGTCTACCACAGAGGCTCCAGTCCTTGGTGGGTGAGGAATGGCAGCAGTGATGCAGATTTCTTTGCAACTGCTTGGGGATATAGGTGCAGGATCATGCATTACTTACTTTTCTTATTCTAAAATAGACAACAAACGCCCAGGATGTCTGTCTCCTGGGGTATAGACAAGGGCAGGAAGAAGTTATTAGAAAATACCTTGCTAATTTTAATTAATATTGCATTTGGAGCAACCTATGATTGTGACATTGGTTGACAAAACGCATAGGACCAGCACAAAGATAGAAAACCTTGGTCTGACTTCTCCACTTGGTCAGGAAGGTAAACTAATGATGAATTGATGAGAGTGTATGCTTCCATTCATGTTGGCCACTTGGAAATACAGGCCTATTGTTGCCAGATAGTTCTATTTTTACAAAAAAGCTGAGAATGCAACCTTTTATATGATGTTCCCTACTTTTTTAAGTGTTAGCAACTAAGTCAAATTTATTATTATTATTTTGGTCAATGACTCTGTCACCCAGGCTGGAGTGCAGTGGCATGATCACAGCTCACTGCAGCCTCAACCTCCTGGGCTCAGGCAATCCTTTGGCCTCAGCCTTCCGAGGAGCTGGGACTACAGGCATGTGCCTGGCTAATTTTTTTTTTTTTGGTAGAGATGAGGTCTCGCTATATTGAAATCCTGGGCTCAAGCAATCTTCCTGTTTCGGCCTCCCAAAGTGCTAGGATTACAGGCATGATCCACTGTGCCCAGCCTAATTCGAATTATTTTTTAAAATGTGCAGGCCAGAAAAAACATGTTTGGAATTAGGTGTGGCTCAGGGGCTGCCAGTCTGTGATGTGTGTTTTAAGAGAAATGCAGGACTATGTCTTCATGGGATTAACTTCTATCTTAGTACAGATTGTTTAAACCATCTGAGATGACCCAAGCTGACCTTGTTTTCTAGGCCACAGTCCTTCATGTTGCTCCATATGGAAAGGCTAAATGATGAAAGAGCATGTGGAATGGAAGAAAGAACCAAAAGTTTTTGGAGCCAGACACTTCTAGTATCCTATCTTAGTTATTCAGCCATTTTGTAATATTGTAATATTGAGGTCTCTGAGTTCCAATCCTCCCCTCTCGAATGTGAGGATGTCTTCTTGGGAACGTTTTGAGGACTAAAGCTTATTATGACGTTTATGTGCATGAATAAAGATACAGTACCCAGCACATGGTGGAACATCTATCAGATGGTAGAAACGGAAGTTCTTTTTCCAACTAAAGGGAATCCAGAAATGGGAACAAGTGATTAAGAGACAAATTTTAGCTTTCTCTGATTTATCCAGATTACTTGAAATTTCAAAAGAAATAGAATTCATGTTTCACTTGATATTAGAGGCTAAATGCTTTATTTCCTGTAAGATTTCATTAATTAGATGTGTGATCATGGGCAAGTCACTAAACCACCCAGTTATCTGGATAATGAGGATAATCGTACACTAGAATGAGGGTAATAATACGTCTTTGAAAAGCCATTGTAAGGAAACTTCTAAGCACTGTAACTGACACATTGTCAGCCAATATATGGGAGACCTTTTTATAACAGATTGTTTAACAAATGCTTAATATCATCTTGGTTCTGAATTCCATTTACTTCTAAAGACCTGAAATACGTTTATCTGTCATTCGTCTTTCTATCTTTCTGTCTGTCTCTCTCTCTATCATCTATCTAATCTATCATTTATCATATACTTACTTTTTATTGTGATAACATTTATATAACATAAAATTAACCATTTTAAAGTGTACAGTTTAGTGGCATTTAGGATGTTCACAATGTTGTACACCCATCACCTCTATCTAGTTCCAAAACAGTTTCATCACCCTGGACCCATGAAGAAGTCACTCTGCTTTTTCTTCTCCTTCTAGTTCCTGGTAACCATGGATCTGCTTTCTGTCTCTGTGAACATTTACTTGTCCTGGATATTTTATGTAAACAGAATCATATGTGAATTTTTACGCCTCACTTCTTTCACTTAGTATATACTACTGTTTTCAAATTTCATCTGTGCTGTAGTACGTATAGTACTTCATTCCTTTTTATGGTCGATTAATATTTCATTGTATGAATATACCACATGTAGCTTATTCATCATCAGCTAATAGATATTCATTTTTTGGCTAATATGAATAGTGCTGCTATAAACATTTGTATACAAGTTTTTGTTTGAGTACTTGTTTTCAGTTCTTTGAGTATATACCTAAAAGTGGAATTGCTGGGTCATATGGTAATTCTATATTTAATTTTCCTGAACTCCTGGCCTCAAGCAATCCTCCTGCATCAGCCTCCCAAAGTACTGGGATTACAGGCATAAGCCACCACACCTGGCTATATGTGATTTTCTGAGGAATCACCGAATTGTTTTCCACAATGCCTGCACCATTCTACAGACCCATCAGTTAAAATTACCTATATCCTCACCATCATTTGCTATTTTTTATTTTTATAATTATTATTGTCATCTTAGTGGATACAAAGTAGTCTTTCATGGTTCTGGTGTGCATTTTCCTAATAATTAATGATATTGACTGTCTTTTCATGTGCTTATTGATTATTTGTATATTTTCTTTGGGGAAATGTTTTTTAAAGTCCTTTGCCCATTAAAATTTTTTTTGTTGTTGAGTTTTAGAAATTCTTATATATTCTGGGTATTAGCCCCTTATCAGATATGTGATTTGCAAATATTTTCTTGCATACCATGAATTGTCGTTTCATTTTCTTGATAATGTCTTTTGAAGCACAGATATTTTAATTTTGATGAATTCCTGTTTATCTGTTTTTTTCATTGATTGTTCTTTTTGGTGTTACAGATAAGAAACCATCACCATATCCCACGTTATGAAACTTTCTCTCTTTGTTTTCTTCTAGGAGTTTTATGGTTTTAGCTCTTGTATTTAGGTATTTTATTCATTAGTTAATTTTATATGTAGCACGAAGTAGGGATTCAGATACATTCTTTTTTTTTTTTTTGTTGAGTTGGAGTCTCACTCGGTCGCCCAGACTGGAGTGCAGTGGCCGCTCCCGGCTACCGCAGCCTCGCCTGCTGGGCTGTGGCGATCCTTCCGCCTCAGCCTTCCCAGTAGCTGGATTTATAGGCATGTGCTACCACGTCCGGCTGATTTTTTGATTTATTGTAGAGATGAGGTCTCGCTGCCCAGGCGGGTCTCGAACCCGCGGGATCAGGCAATCCACTCACCTCAGCCTCCCAAAGACGTGGGATTACAGGCTGAGCCACCGAGCCCGGCTCAAATTCATTCTTTTACATGACTGTCTAGGTGTCCCAGCACCATTTGTTCAAGAGACAATTCTTCCCTCCTTCCTCCCCCCATTGAATGACTTTAGCATCGTTGTCAAAAATGAGTTGACTGTAGATAGATGAGTTTATTTCTGGGCTCTCAGTTTTATTTCATTGATTGATATGTCTATTAATATGCCAGTGCCACACTGTTTTGTAGTATTAAAATTGGAAAGTATAAGTCCTCCAACTTTGTTCCTTCGAAAGGTAGTGTTAGTTATTCTAGATTCCTTGCAATTCCTTTTGAATTTTAGGATAAGCTTTTTCCTTTTCTGAAAAAAGCACACTGGGATTTTGATGGGGATTGCTTTGAAACTGCAGATTGCTCTGGGTGATATTGTCATCTCAACAATATTAAGCCTTCCAGGCTATGAAAATGAGATGGTTTCCCATTTATGTAAGGTCAAAAAAATTTTTTTTTTCAACAACGTTGTGAAGATTTTGGTGTGCATGTCTTCAACTTCCTTGATTAAATTTATTCTCAAGTATTTTATTCTTTTCAATGCTATTGTAAGTAGAATTGTTTTCTTAATTTTACTTTTGAGTTAGTCATTGCTTATGTGTAGACATACAACTCATTTTTGTGTGTTGATTTTTGTATCCTGCAACTATGTTGAACTCACTTATTAGCTCTATTTTTTTTTTGTGTGGATTCTGTAGGATTTTCTATATGTAAGACCATGTAACCTGTAGATGTAGTTTTACTTCTTCTTTTCTAGTATGGATGTCTTTTATTTATTTTTCTTGCTTAATTGCTCTAGCTATAATTTCCAGTACAACCATTGAATTGAAGTGATGAAAGCAGACATCGATGTCTTGTTCCTGATCTTGGGGGAAAATATTTGTCTTTCATCATTAAATATAGTGTGAACTGTGGGTATATATTTATTTTTAAACCTTTTTGTACTCTAATTTTGAAATAACAGAGTGAAACTACACAATGTAGAAACCTAGGACATTCTCTGAAAGTCCACCTTCCTGGAGATGATCACTGGTCATATTTTGAAAATTGATCAGTTGATCATTAAATGTCCTTTTAAAATTTTGCAAAAATATGGTTTAGTAGATACTATCTATATTACTAAAATAAGCAGCAAAACCTCATGCTTTATCTGATACATCTTGGATAATTAGAATAATCTTAGTTATTTATTTTGGAACCAAGCATTTTGAAATGCATCATTTTGGGGAATGTGGTTGGCTGCTTTAATATGTGCTTGTTGTTTAAATTCCAGATCGGTTTTGTCCTGTACCCTCCAAGTGGAGGTCCTGCATGGGATCTGATGGATCATAGCAACGTGATGTTTCTTACCATATGTTTCTGCTGGCATTATGCATTAAACTGTATCATCATTGGAGTGAATTATGCTTTTATCACCTGGTAAGTTAGTGATTTCTGTTCATGGAAGTTCTATTCCTTGGTAGATGATAATCAAGACTTGATTGTGTTGAACTTAAAATGCAAAAGGGGATTTCATTCCTTACCATCCCATAAGACAAGGTAGCATAACAGGAAACAAACACAGACATTTCCAGTAAAAAGATTAAATGCTGATTTAAAGTTAGAAGAGCTCAAGAATGTCTCTGCTGTGCCTCTGACCCATGCATTTCCCTTCAGCACACTTTTCTATGCCTCCATGCCTTGGCAAATGCTGTTTCCTCTTCTGAATGGTCTCCTCTCAACACATTGCCTGCAGTGAGTCTTCCATTTACCCACGTGCACATACTTCACTTATAGTACTTATTAAGCTTGGAGTCCTTTTTTGACCAACTTGTATGGATCCCTCTGACTGCCTCATTAATTTAACATTGACTCTAATATTTTTAAAAGTAAGATTCAGTTGAATCATACTTCTTTTTACAAGGATCCTGACATAATGTTTCATGAGTGAATGAGGAGCAATATGACAGATGGATAAGAACCCAGATTCCTTGCTCCACTGTTTATCAGTTGTTGACTTTGAGTCAATTAGTTAACCACTTGTCTCAGTTTTGTTGTTTGTAAAATGGAGATAATAACAGTACCTAAACAAGATAACATATTTTAATTACTTAGGACATACCAAGAGGTCAATAAATGTTATTATCTTCTTATTGTTCCTGTTATTCTTGTTCTTATTCTCCTCCTCTTCCTTCCTCTTTGGTATAAAAAAAAATGAATGTGGTATAGACCCTGCCCATGAGGAAATTGTAGTCCTATGATTAGGACTAAATTAGAATGCTAGACAATTAAAATACAATGCAATAAACAGAAATACTAGAAGAACAAAACACTATTGGAGCTCAGGGGAGGCCTCTCCACAATTGAGAATGAAGCTATAGCTTAAAGGATGGGCAGGAATAGAAAGGAACAACCACAGCTCCCCATCTCTAAGGTGGCTAATATCACCTATAATTTCCAGTACAACATTGAATAGAAGTGATGAAAACAGACATCTATGTCTTATTCCTGATCTTAGGGGGAAATATTTGTCTTTCATCATTAAATATAATGCGAACTTTGGGTTTTTATTTTTAAAACTTTTTGTACCTTAATGTCAAATCCCAATTGGCTTGGCTGATCCCAGTTATCAGGCATGAAGGCAGTACCAACCAAATCCTTCAGACTTAAGTGCTGATCGAAATGTTCTATACCTGCAGGGTTTTGTATCTACAGTGTTTGATATGGTAGCTACTAGCTATTGAGCACTTAAAATGTGACATGTTTATTTTGATCAATTTAAATATCCATACGTGGACAATGGCTACCATACTGGACTCTACACATCTGGCAGATTCTCTGATTCTTGAAATGCAAAAGCTGCTTCTAGGCCCAGTGGGGTCTTAGCTACTCCTGGAACAAACCTTCCACTCTTCTCTCTGGACGTGGGTCTCAGGTCACCCCTCCTGCTCTGTGCTTTGTGCCTCCTTGCTGAAGCAGCTCTGGTGCTGATGCCTTGAATGAAGAAACAATTTCCTTGTCTAGCTCCCACTGTCTCTGTTAGCTTAGGGTCAATCCACTTTGATCTATAGTTGCTCCCTTTTAGAGGTCTTTGGGCGCTGGGAAATTTGACCTTCTCATTGACTGTTTTCTATTTGTCCTGTTTCATTTCCCCAAAGCATAAGCACAAGCTCATTATCAAGGCTGACTCTGCCATTAAGTGAAACTTGGCTTCTTCCCCTGTTGTTCTAGGGTGACATCTGGGCCTCATCTCCTTAGGGGCTGGGCAGCCTCCAAGATCAGTGCCAGCAGCCAAGGGAATGCTCTGTATCATGCCAGCGCCCCTCCAGAGCCAAAAGAAGACTACTCTCTCTTCCTGTTTCAGAAACCTTCAGACCACTAATGAACTTCTTATGTACTGTTAGTTCTCTAGAAACTGGACACTCTTTTCATTTTTCAACGTCCCTTGCTGCCTCTCCCCCCTCACATGCTATTTTAATTTTTTGATCATGCTTTACCCACTACCTGGCATATCTGCATTAAATGCACATCTCTTCTATGAAACCTTCTACAATTCCTCTAGCTCTTGCTCATCTCCCTTCAAGAGTTGTACAGCACTTATTCTCTACCATACATTTTAACACCTGTGATCTCTGTTGTGATGGTTACTATTAGCTCATGCGTGTTAGTCTTATTTGCTGGCTAGATTGAGTCTCCTTGAGAAGAAGACCATTTTCACAGTTCCCATACCTCCCGACACACTGCCAAACATAGTAGTTTCTCAATAAACCCTTGTTTGCTGTTTTAATAGACCTATGTTGCAGAACTGTTTAAATATAGGCTTCATTTGTTTGGAAATTATGTTTTATATGCTTTTCAGTTTTGCTCTCACATTGCTCTTGGAGTTAAATTTTCTGACATATTTTGATATGGACCTAAGCAGTAGCTTGAAAATATCATGGGCCGGGCTCGATGGCTCAACCTGTAATCCCAGCAATTTGGAAGGCTGAGGCGAGAGGATTGTCTGAGCCCACGGGTTCCAGACCCACCCACGCAACTTGATGAGACCTCATCCCTACAATAAATCAAAAATTAGCCAGGCGTGGTAGCGTGTGCCTGCAGTTCCAATTACCTGGAAGGCTGAGGCAGAAGGGTCACAGAGTGAGACTCCAACTCAAAAAAAAAGAAAGAAACTATCATGAAAACTCAGTATTGCCTTTTGGTGAGGTCATGTGACAGGCTAACGCAAACTTGTAGTCATAAAGAACCTTGAAAATTTGTTGGTCAGGATGTGACTGTGGAGTGGTTTACAATTCATCCACAGAACATTGTCAGAACATTGTATCAGAATTTGTTTGGCATAGCACAAAGATCACCACAGAAACAAAACTGGATTATGAAACTATTGCCCCCAAGTCTCTGAAAAATCAAGCTGTCCTTCTCAGCTTTCCAGAATAGTGACTTAAATATTGCCTCATCCAATCCCATGCTTGCTGTCTTGATTATGGTAGCTCATAGGTGAGAACTGCCTATTTGGAAATTGTATTACATGTTTTATTGTGTCTCATACTTAAACACCACTGCTAAACATAACTATTTAAAAAACCCTTCTCTAGGGGTAGGGAAATATTGCCCATTTACAGAATGCTTGATTCAATGATCCAAGCAATGATCGTTGGATCATGTGGGCCATTTTGCAGAATAAAAAGATGCCCAGTTTCAGGGCATATGATAGTTTCCTGGAAGTCTACCCATTGTCTAAGCTCTGCTCTTTCTCGGATTTAATTAAGAGAACATATGGGAGCAAAAGCATAGAATACACCGTCCTCAGTTTCCTGGATTCGCACCATTCCTCTTTGTTACCCCATCTTTCAATCTGCTCCAGGTGACCATTTCTGCATGTGTGAATACCTATAGCTACACCTGCAGCTACAGGTGGCAGATAGAGCCTGGTTAAGGTTCTGAACATAGCTTGGTGACTCATAGCAACAGCAGATACAACCCGGAGTGGAGGAATGGGAAACAAGAGGAGTCACTAGGGTCTATGTGAACAATTAATTTGTGATAAGTGACCATGTCTTTGTTTCATTTTCCACAAGAGTTATTAGGAATGAAATAAACCAGTTAATTAACAAATCCATTTTATTTAGCATGTATCAAAGTTGTACAATGTGGAAATAATGTGTGGTTTTAATGACACAAACACTATTGGGCTTTAACTTCTTTGAGAGTATTAGCCTTTCATGAGAACAGTGCCTTGAAGTGTTGAGGACACTGGGAGCAGCATCAATAGTCAATTAATAATCAAGGCAAATGGTTTCGGGTGATTTTCCTTGACTCTTGAGTCAACAGATGCCACTGACACTGCTCGGTTATTGTTTATTGGAGAAGTTAACGCTGAGTTGGAGGTGGCTGGTAAATTAAATAGGTGAGTGATGGGAGTGCCTGGCAGATTGCTCCAGAGTTTGTTGATTTATCATTTGTGCACTGAGCCACTACTGCGTACTAGACATTGTTCCAGACTCTGGCTGGAGTGACAGCAGCAAATAAGATGAGAGGTCACTGCTCTTATGAAACTTATATCTAGTGATTCTTATCTCTAGTAAAGGCATGATAGATAGATAGATAGATAGATAGATAGATGATGGGTGATAGATAGAGGCAGACCAGACCTTCATAAGAAGGACAGCAGAAAACAAGGAAAAAGATGCAGTTGGCTGGTTAAGTTTTTCATTAAAAAAGAATAATATTGTTGATTTGGTTTATCAAGTTTGTTTTCATAGTCCTGTGTATTTCTGGAAGTTAAGTATGTTTTATTGATATGGTCATAGCACTTTATAAAAGTATCTTTATAATAGTTACAAAGTCACATGTCTTTATAATAATCATGCCCAGGTAAAGCTGTGCCTAGTTCTCATGACATACTCCTTTTCTTACATCGATGAAGTGGATTGTCTGCTGAGCTCCTGTTGCTAAGAAGAGTCACATCTTTCAATGTCAAAAAGTATAATCATTGCTTTCCCCAAACCTACAGCTTCTCTTAAACTATGCACATAGTCACAGGGTGGAGGGTACTTCTTTGAACTCTTTTTTTGTTTGTTTGTTTTGGGGTTTTTTTTGAGTTGGAGTCTCACTCTGTTGCCCAGGCTGGAGTGCAGTGGTACGCTGACGGCCACCCCAGCGTCGACCTGCTGGGCTCCAGTGATCCTTCCACCTCAACCTTCCAATTACACGGAACCACAGGCGTGTGCTACCACGCCCAGCTAATTTTTTATTTATTGTAGAGACGAGGTCTCGCCAAGTTGCCCGGGCTGGTCTCGAACCCGCGGGCTCAGGCAATCCTCTTGCCTTGGCCTCCCAAAATGCTGGGATTACAGGCTGAGCCACTGAGTCCGACCTTCTTTGAACTCTTAATTCATCAAGGACAGGGCCACCACATGCAGTTGAGCAGCCTGTGCCCTGCACAAAAGCACTCCTCTGAAGGGGCTAGGAGGGGCTGAATCTAGCCTAGACTTGACATGGGACTTGACTTAGGCTGCCCACCCTATGGCAGGAGAGGCCTCCGTGCCCTTCCTTTACAGGAGAAAGCATCTTTCTATAATACACAGCTAGGTGGCTTATGTGGTGAGGCCCAACTGAGCTTGGTTTCATCTGGGCTTGCCACAGCCCAGGGATTCTCTTATTGGTTTTAGGAATGATAGTTATCTTCTAAGTCCTCATTAAATAATCATGCAGTACATTTAAAAGCTACCCTGCTGCAATTCACAAAACTAAGGAAATTCACCTTAGTTTTCCCCTAGGAAAAGCCCCAAAGCCAAATAAAAGTGATTTCTCCTTATTGGGTTGTCCCCCTTCCCCACTGCCAAATAATCTGAAGTCTGTTGTATTATAGCTGCATATTGCTCTGGGTTTCTATTTAAAACCCCATCTAACTAGAACTGCTTTTCTTTCTCCTCAGGCTGGTTAAATCTAGACTTAAGAGGCTCTGCCCCTCAGAAGTTGGACTTCTGAAAAATGGTGAACGAGAGCAAGAATCAGAAGAAGAGATGTGACTTTGATGGGCACCCAGTCTTTCTAGACGAGCCTTTTCTTTTTGCATTGTCTTTGTACATGGTTTTTGTTTCTTGACATTTTGTTTGGAGAACAATTGGCTGGGGATGACTTTCAATGTACTGTTTGTATTTCCAGTGTTGTTAAAGTATTTGAATTTAAATATTTTATTTTTAGCTTTGAAAATACTTTGGATGATAAGTTCATTTTGCACATCAAGCATGTTATGGTTTTCAGGGGCTAGAGTAACTTATTCCAGGTCTTCTAAAGTTTGATGCCCACACTATGAGAAACATTTGTTTTATTTGCCTTACAAATATGCTCAAGGTTCCTGGGCTTGCTGCCATTTGTAACTCATTGAACATGGAATTACCCTTGTTTATCTTGTTGCTGCAATGAGAAATAAATGAATGCACACACCTTGGTGCAGACATCGCCAGGCTTTTTCTCTGTTATTTAATTACACTATATCCTTACATCATGCAGAAGCTGTAGGACACAGAGATTCCTTTTTTGTGAGACAGCTGTCTCTGTAGCACCTTAGTTTTCCCCTGGGAAAAGTAGGTCAGAAGTTCTCCTAGGGTATGTGATCTTTTAGAGAAGCCAAAAGGGGTGACCCCAGGATACGTGGTTGTGAAGCCATGAGAGACTGGGCAAGGAGAGTTGGGCTAAGACCTGTACGAGCAAAAAGTCATCACACACCATGGCACAGCCACCATGCCATCCCCTCTGTTAAAATAGTTGAAGGGTAAGAACAGAGAAATGGAATAGCTGGGTATAAAAAACCCTTAACCATCTGTGGGCTATATAGCCACTGGTGGAATGTTAAGAGATCTTGTTTCTAATTCTGGCTTTACCATTGACCAGCTTCTAGGTTTCTAATCACTACGTTTTTCACTCTAAAGCAAGGGAATTGCATTAAATGAATCATGGCACCCTTCATGTGTTATGAGTCTAGATATGGAAGCATGTGGACAGCTAATTTAGTACCATGTTAGTTGCAAAAAGCTAGTCTTTGCTGTGCCAAAAAAAAAAAAAAAAGGAAGGATGACTGCAGGAATCCTTGAGGGATGACGCAAACACGGGAGAAAGGAGGCAGCCTTGTGGTTAACTAGAGTTGAAACATGAACAACTAAATCCTGAAGTCTCCTTGGCAATCCAGAAGCAGTGACAAGCCGAGAAGACTGCCATGTCTGGTATTTATCACAGGGACACTGAAGAGTCAGGTGAGCTGATCCTTCAGGCTCCAGGGCAGGACACATTCAGTCATTATGTAAGTTTGAAAAGAGCAGATGTGAGTGTGTGGGTGTCTAAAGATTTATCTTGAATACTACAATCATCCTTTGTGCCTTTCTGGCATATGAAAATGCTCACAAATCACAGTCTTCTCGAGGTCATGGTGTTCTGTCCCATGTGTGTCCTATATCTCAGGACTGTTTTCTAGATCTACAATTGTCTATGACTTTGGCAAGTTTGGGTTGAAAAGCAGTGAGCAGTCAGCTGCAGTTACTGGAAACTGGTGTTACTGGTATCTAGGCCTGAGCAGGGACTCCAGAAATAATAAACATGAACCAGAGATTAAATCCAGATTTATGAAAACTGGTAAGTGCAAATATTCTACAGTCTTTGTGAGAGAGCAAAAATGTCTCTGCACACAAAGAATACAAGTAAGATGCAATTTGGTGAGTTCTGAGAAGAGCCTTGAATTTTCTTTGCATTGCGCTGGGAAGTGGAATTCGCAAATGTTTTGATTCATAAAGCATTATATTTCAGTAAATTTTCTGAGACGCCAAAAAGTATAATTCGTTTCAGGCTACACTTAACAACCTGTAGAATGGAATCACTCATCCCATAAATGTTTATTAAGCAGTTACCGTGTGCCAAGCAGCGTGAAATAAACTAGGAATACCAGTGCCACACAAGCCAGAGTCCCTGTCCTCATCAAACTTCCATTTCCATGGGAGAGTCAGACAAACAACAAAGTCAACAACCAGGTTCTATCATTTGAGGCAAAAATAAGCAATAGGAAGAAAAATAAAGCTGGGGGTGGGGGGTGGAGTACAGAGAATAATGGGGTGGTGCTATGGTTTTGCCAAGAATCATATTGAAGTCTGATCCCCAGTGTTGGAGATAGGGCCTGGTGGGAGGTAATTTAATCTTGGGGTATGCCACCATTGTAGTCATGCGTTCTCACTCTTAGTATCCGAGAGGGTTTTCCCTAGAGTTGGTTGCTAGAGAGAGCCTGGCACCTTCCCCTTTCTCTCTAATTCTCTCTTGTTGAGTGATCTGCCTACTCTGGTTCCTCTTCCACCATGAGTAGAACCTTCCCGAGGTCCTCCACAGAAGATGATGCTAGCGCTGTGCTTCTTGTACAGCCTGTGAGGCAATGAGCCAAATAATCCTTTTTCTTCAAAATTACCTGGTCTCAGGTATTCCTTTTGAGTAACACAAATGAACTAAGACAGGTGGGGCAGTGCCGGTATCCTTAGGGTGGTTCTTCCCAGAGGTGCTTCTCTGATGACCCGAAGGAAAATACCCCTGTCCATCCCTCTCTATCATTATCTGAAATTATAGTGTTTATGTTACCAGAGCTTTTAGCTCTGAAGGGGAAATCATGGTCAAGAAAGGGATGGGGGTGAAGGTTCACTCTTTTACTTTATATTTGTATTTTGTCTCAACTCTTCCAAAAACCTGGGCTCTCAATTCCCGAGCCTTTGTCAAACTTTGTTTGTAAGTATTTCTCACGTCATTTGTCATAACCAAAGAGGAGAAACACTTTAAGTGAGTGCATAATTTCTAGTGCAGTTGTCTGTGTAGGAAGGACTGAGGGTTATTTGACAAAGCAGAAAAACCTCTGTGGATGGAAAGCTTCTGTGGTTGCATCCAGATGAAAGTGAGGGGTGGGGCTGATTCTTAAGCAATGCCAACCTCCGCTGATGTGATGATAACAACTCCTCAGTGATTTCTGTCATCACCAGTTTCCTTTGCTTGGGAAACTGCAAACCTCTGACTGCACTTCTTTCCAGCTCATTGTTGAAATGGGAGGCTAGGTCATGGTAGACGCCCTCTTCCCATGTGTCACTCTAGGTGCTTGTTAATTAAGGCTGTACTGATTGTATCTTGGATGTGGATTAGTAAGGTGATGTGGGAGTCGATGGATGCTACCAGGCCAATGAAATGAATGCTGAGAAGTGAGGAATTCTCCCCAAAGACAAGGAAATGATAGGGAAAAAGGTGAAAGAAAAGTTAATACACATGAAGAATATATCCAGAAATCCTATATTCTCTCCTATTGAATTCCAGATGGAGAAAATTGAGAGAACAGAGGGCAGGCATGAAATAATAGAAAAGAATTTCCCTAAATAAATGGCACTGAAGGGAGATTTTTACCTTAAGCTTGGAGGGTGCTTGCAAGAGACATGTAGTGGATAGAGTGACCGGATTTCTAGACTTAGTAAAAAATTAAAACCTTAATTCTTCCTTATGCCTTTAAGTTAAATTTGTGAATATTATTATTCTGTTTTTAACCCTAGCAAAATTTAATGCCCAGTTTTTTTCACAGCTCACAATTTTGTTTTTAAGGCAGAATAGTTTTGTAACCTGAGAAAGTACATTTAAAACACAAGATCAATAACAATGTTGTTTTACATAATGATTTATATATTTAAAATTTTTATAATTAATTTTTTTATTTACTTATTTTTATTTTTTGAGTTGGAGTCTCACTCTATCACCCAAACTGGAGTGCAATGGCCGCTCCTGGCCACTGCAGTCTACCTGCTGGGCTCCAGCAATCCTTCCCCCTCCGCCTTCCAAGTCGCTGGAACTAGAGGCGTGCACTACCACACCTGGCTAATTTTTTGATTTATTGTAGAGATGAGGTCTCGCCAAATTGCCCAGGCGTGTCTCGAACCCACGGGCTCAGGCAATCCACTCACCTCAGCCTCCCAAGGCGTGGGATTACAGGCTGAGCCACCGAGCCTGGTTTATTTACTTATTTTTAAAAATTTATTTTAATAGCTTTAGGGGGTACAAATGGTTTTTTGGTCACATGGAAGCATTGTATAGTGCCAAATAAGTCTGGGCTTTAAGTGTACCCACCACCCCCACCTGTGCACACGGTACCTAATAGATGCTTTTTCGTCCCTCCCTCATCCCTGCCTAATCTCCCCCTTCTGAGTCTCCAGTGTCCATTACACCATTCTCTATGCCTTTGTGATCCTTAGTTTAGGTCCCATCTATAAGTGAGAACATGCAGTGTTTGATTTTCTTTCCTATGTCAGTTTACGTAGAATGATGTTCTTCAATTTCATCCAAGTTGCTGCAAAAGACATTATTTCATTCTTTTTGACAGCTGAATAGTATTCTGTGGTGTATATATACCACATTTTCATTGTCCACTGATCAATTGATGGACATTTAGGTTGAGTCCACATCTTTGCAAATGTGAATTGTGCTGCGATAAACATCCGAGTGCAGTTGTCTTTTTTGTATCATGACCTCTGTTCCTTTGGGTAGATAACTAGTAGTGGGATTGCTGGATTGAATGGTAGATCTACTTTTAGTTCTTTGAGAAATCTACACATCAATTTCCATAGATACATACCAACAATGTATGTGTTCCTTTTTCACCACATCAACACCAACATGTCTTGTTGTTTTTCATAATGGTCATTCTTACTGGTGTAAGGTGGTATCTCATTTTAATTTTCACTTCCCTGTTTATTAGTGATGTTGAAAACTTTTTTCATATGTTTGTTGGTCATTTGTATATCTTTTTTTGAGAGACAATCTGTTCTTGTCATTTGCCTACCTTTGGTGGAGGGGGGTGACTTAAACAACAGAAATTTATTTCTCACAGTTCTGGAAGCTGGGAAGTCCAAGATCAAGGAGCCAACAAGTTTGGTTTTTGATGAGGGCTCTCTTCCTGGTTTGTAGACAGATGCCTTCTGGTTGTTTCCTTACATGGTGGGGAGAAAAAGCTCTCTGATGTATGTTCTCAAAAGGAGACTAAGCCTATTAGAACAAAATTTCACCCCTATGATTCCATTTAACCTTAATTATTTCTTTACTCTTTACAAAAAAATTTTTTTAAATTTTAAAACTGTGGAGTACAATTCAGGATTAGGTAGACAAGTAGTCATTGGTCCCCACTTTGCCTGGTTTAAGATTAGGTACTCTTATTGATGTTATATGACACACCCTCCACTGGCGGTGTCCTACTACTGCCAAATCCTTTCATATAGTATTATGATAAATGTTCAGGGTCCACTTATGAGTGAGAACATGTGGTGCTCAGTTCTTTGTTTCTGTGATAGATCACTGAGTATGATAGACTCTCAATTCATCCAAGTTACTGTGAAGTCCATATGTCTGTCCTTCTTTATGCATGTGTAATATTCCATCGTGTATATGTACCACATTTTTTTAT